TACCACTCCACTGCACATCGAGATACGGATATCTGCACGCAAATAAACATATTATTTGCTATTAAATAGCTTCCCCTTCTCTGAACTGCATTGAGTAGAACAGAAAGCTAAATGTATTTGGAAAAGGGCAAAGACTGCAGACTGCCAAATGCAAAATCACAGGGATTAAACTTATGCTTGCTCTTCTTGCCCTGCCACAAGTCCAAAGGCTGAGACCTGCCTTGGTGCACACAGGGATAACTTTGAAGGGATCTCTCAGGATATTCAGGTTTATTTCCCAAGTCTTAGAGCAGGCTCAGTCTCTTTTCACATCATTTCAACACATCCAGAGCATAGAAAAATCCTGATTTCCAAACCATTAGGGCCAGTAGTGGATTGCAAGTGCTGCAGGATGTGCTTCATCCTTTGCTTCTAAAGGGAACAGAAGAAACATCTTCTGGTTTCTTTTGTATTTTTCGTTTCCCAACACCCTTAACAGCACCAGCAGGATAAGAAACTGAATCCTTCTGGTGGCACTTACCATCCTCCAAAACGTGGTTTATCAGAGTACAGGAAAGTAGACTCCCTCCATGCTGTCGCAGGAGCAGCTATGCGGGAACGTGGCGGCTTCCTTGGGAGCCTGTCTCCTGCACCACGAGCGGAGAGATCCCTGAGTGGCTCTCAGGGTTACTAATTATTGTAGAGAATAAACCAGAGAGAACGTCATCCTAATGCTTGGGCTGGATTTCAGGCTGCAGGTCTAAATCCATTGCACTTAAAGGGAACGACACCTTCCTAAAACACCAAATGATTCAGAACTGCAATACACACTTCTTTTCTATAAAATGGCTTCAGAGCATTTTATAAAGGACGACCTGCACAGATCCCAAAGCCAAGGTGGCAAGAGTCCAATTTTACAGAAGAGGAACACAACTTACAGGTGTCTAAAGCCATATAAGCATCAACCCTCTGCTAAGTCAGAAGCTGGATACAAACAGGTGAGGTGAAATCCTAACTGTCCCTTCCTTTGGCAACCCAACCCTCACAAACTACGGCAGGCCCGGACAGCATGGGCACCCCAGATAGGTGCCTGCTGGAACTATCCTTAGCCAAGGCCATAATAATAATAATAATAATAAAAATAATGCAATTTTACTGGGATCTGTTTCATAATTTAATTCAGCACAAGTCTTTTATGACCATATTATTCTAAATTGCAGGCGTTTGTCATGCTGTCAGCCCCCCCCGCTTGCTGTGAATTTTAAGTACTGTGACACAGGAATAACAAACCAAGGGGATACCTGTGCCTCACTGCAAACCACTGACAGCAGCTGAAGCTTTGCTCCCAGTAACCCATTTGAAAAGTGCAGCACAGCCCCAAAGCCAGTGCCTGACCCAAGGAGCACGATTTCAACATCACATGCATTTCTTTTAAGCTGACAAATAAGGAAACTCTTCAGTCTTGTAGAGACAGTTGAAAAATCACATTTTTTTGCAATAGGTCCTTTGAAAGAGGTTTGGGATGTGGGAAATGGAAAAGGGCCAAGGGGCAGATGCAAAGAAAACAAGGGATGACAGCGGCACAGACAGGGTGCAAGGACTGGGACATGCATGGGTGGGTAGTCACGGGGTTTGGATATGATGAGAAAGAAAACAGAAGATCTGTAAATTAACAGAGATATAGCCAAGAAGGCTCCTTTATAAGGAGGGTGCTTTACAAGGAAAAGCACAGTGAAATAATAAGTGATCACGTCTGTTTATACCATTAGAGGCTTTTTGCTTGCTTGGACATACCAGGGATGACTTCTTGGCTAAAAGTCTTTGTCCCAGGACAGACTAAGCACAAGCAAATTCCACCTTCAGTATCCTCCTGATGAGCGTCAATGCCCAAGTTGGAGGAGAAAGCTAAATAGAAAAGGAGTAAGGAACAGATGCCCTGACAAAATATCTCCAGCTATTCCTCAGGGATACAGGATAGCCCATCTTTCCCTTCCAGTGAGGGCATCTTATGCATATCATGCACTTGTGTGATTATCAAAAGAACCAAAGAGAACTGGGTCTGGAGCTTTGTATATTCTGAATATGCGCAGAAAGAAGCAAAAAATAGGGTATTTCACCATCAGAAACATTCTCAGACCCTGCTGTGAAACAGGCATATCAGACCAAAATCACTTGTAAAACAGTGACATTATAATCAAACCTTGTCATCCATATTGCTTAAATCAGGCTTTTGAGTCACCATGACTGATTTTTTTCCTCCAAAGTCATGGCCATTCCTGGATCTTCTTAATTATTTACTCCCCATAAATTTCAGTTTTCAAGCGCCTTTGCTAAGACGACTGTAGAAAACCAAAAGAAGAGGTGGGCTGTATGTGGGCTGGCTAAAGCTTGTGAGCATGATTTATAGGGGGTTATGCCTTTGTTGCAGCTGGATGCCTCATTATTCTGGCAACCAGATTGCATGCAAAGGTATTAATCTTTCTACACTAAAATCCTCTTTCCTTCCCTCAAACTCCAAAATGTTTCTAACTGAAATTAAGTTAGCACTTAACAAAAGCAAAATACTATAATTCCAGAACTGTATCCCTTTGATCTGTTATATTTTTACACTCACAAGAGAAAGAAACCCCTGAGCTCCTATGCTCTTTTTGTCATGACAAACCACAAAGATAATTATCAGGAAGCTGCTTTTGAAAAAATCTCCCAAACTGACTGCCACTGGGAAGCCAGACAAACATTCCAGAAATAACTAAATAATTGATATTTCTGGAGTCGCAGAGGACAATACCATTAACAGAAATAACCACTATCCAGCATCCAGTAACTTTATTAACTTGGGTTTTGTGACCAGTATGAGTCATGCTTCTAGAAATGGTAAGAAGATATTTCATGCCAGATATTATCCAAAGGGTAAATTAAGTATCAAATGTCTGTGCAGCCACTCATCAAGATGTATGTAGCTGGGATGGGCTTTAATCCCAGAATGATTCTAAGCACCAAGCACACCACCTCTTTCAACTCTTCCTGTCAGCAGAGATGGGGACCAAAGAACCTACTCTGACCTAGGAACCTTCCAAAAGCAGATTTCATCTTTTATGTTTTTAAACAGAGCTGAAGAAAACTTTGTCCTCTCCCCAGGATTTTAATTATATTGTCATTTTGAAAACAAGTTTTGTTACATTCAATTATTTTTTTTATCTATTTACAATTAAGCTAATGATTGAAATACAGGAATAGCAGGCAAATGCCTTTCCATTGAAAAGATGCTACATGCCATCCCTGTGCCAGCCTCAGCCCAGAGGCAGCACTTTGGACCATGATCTGAACAGGGCTTTGGGCAATGAAAAGATATCCTATTTATCCATTTTCCATTCCGTCATTTAATCCTCTTCAAGTCCTCCATACTGTACAGACAGGCAAACTAACAGCTAACGGGGCAGGGTCACCTTGCTAAGCAGGTAGTGTCTTCAGAACACCTAAACACAACCTAGCAACGCCGCGGTGCTTCACATTTGTGGAGCAGGACAACACAAAATCGGCAAACAGGAGCCTGATTCCTCCTAACTCTGCACTTCAAAATCTGCAGGTGGCAGCTTGCAAATTAAGTAATAGCACAAAAAAAAAAAAAGAAAAAAAAAACACTTGGCAAAAATCACAGCGGTGTTTACAGAAGGAAGAAAGGAAGGGGATGAGCAAAATGTGCTGCCAGAAATACAGGAGTGCACACATTTTAGAAAAACATAGGCTTCATTACAGACACAATATAGCTTGAAATAAAGAAAAGATACGAAGAAAGAAAGAAAAAAAAGAGTGCTTTGCATCATTCACATAGATATCTCTCAAGATACCCAGATTAAGTAGCAGCGCTCATTCCCCACTCTATTTTGTGTCTCCACAGGATATTACTCATCTCAGAAATGAAATAATGAAATTATCTCAGGTGAGGAAGCTGCAAAAATGAGCTAAGGGCTTCTTTACAGACACGCAAAGAAACAGCCGAAGCACTGACTGTCATAGCATCAAGTGACTAACCAGAACAAGCTGTCACAATGGAGCTCTAACCTTCACTGGAGTGAATATTCCCCTCAAAGCACACACTGGCCCAAAGACAAAAATGTGGTATTTCCATAGTTTTAAATAGACCAGCAGAATGTGCAATAATTCTTTTTTTTTTCAGTAGAGCTTCAAAGCAATTCTAAAGGAGAGCTGTAAGAACACGGTGAGAAAGATAATGACGATGGAGCTTTCTTGAAGCAAAGGGATATTGAATTCTGTGCCTGTCCCAAAAGAAAGCACTCCAAGCAAAAAGAAATTCCAAGGAAAAGTGACAGCAATCATCTACTTCCAAAGCCCACTAGGAATTCAGCTGGAATTCTCATAGAAGGGCTCAGCACATCCCTTGCCCTGGCATCTGCAGAGATACCTTTCCACAAAGAAACGCTTCTCAGAGTGTTGTATCTACCTGGGGCTTGGGCCTATTATTAAGAAAAGAACATTTCCCCATTAGAGGACATAATTTCCCTTGCTGCCCAAGCTTTGAAGAGGTTTTGGGACCTTTGAAATACTGTGAGCCATTTTCCAATATAAGAAACCATGGAGAAAACAAAACAAAACAAAACAAAAAAGAAACCCTCCTCAAAAAAACAGGTAAGAGAAGAGAGCCATGTATTGCCTTGATCATATCCTGGTATTAATCCCAATTTCCCCATCTGGGAGAGGGCTCAAGAAGTCACAAACACTTGTGCTGCTTCTGCAGAAATCCAAGCACAAACACACACAGGGGGCTAAGTCTGTAGAACAAAAACTCTAACTCAGGGTCTCCCCTAAATGCTGCTCACAAAATAGTGCTGATTTTACAGGATGCCTGTTGTTCTGAAAGATGCAATGCTGACCACAGCCTAGGGGCAGTGTTGCTCTAAGATCTGGCAGCCACGTGCCACCTGCCCAGCAGAAGCCACTAGGCACACACGAGCAGGCCAGGAGCCTTGGCAGGAGAGCCCAGAGCGTGTTTGGGGACCTACCTTGCTCCTCCACCTCCAAGGACCAGCGCGATGGCATTGCCGGTGAGGACACGGGCTAAGCGGGAGAAGTCAGAGTGGCGGTCTGGCGCCTTCTGGAAGACCCGCTCGTACATCTCTATCTGCAGAGGAGAGAGGAGGAGGAGGACAGCCATTTGATCAGGAAGGTGATCATCTGCACCCCTCACGCTTTCAGAATTACAGGGAGAATTTGACAGTAGTATAGTACAGTGTATATCTCTACAGAGATGTTTATATTTTTTGGCCAAGGATTTAAAGGAACTGGGAAATTTCCAGTCTGCCTCCACTTTAGCTTTAGAACAATTTTCTTGAGCATAAGGAACCTGTCAATGCGAAGAATTCTACAGCATATACACACCTATTGATATGGCCACAAGATATTCATAGAATCATAGAATGCTTAGGGTTGGAAGGGACCTCTAGAGATCATCTAGTCCAACCCCCCTGCATACGCAGGGTCACCTAAAGCACGTGGCACAGGACTGTGTCCAAGCGGATTTTGAAGATCTCCAGAGAAGGAGACACCACAACCTCTCTGGGCAGCCTGTTCCAATGCTCTGTCACCTTCACTGTTAAGAAATTTTTCCTTAAGTTCCTGTGGAACTTTTGGTGCTTCAGTTTCCGGCCATTTCCTCTAGTCCTATCAGTGGCCACCACTGAAAAGAGACCAGCACCGTCCTCTGCACTCCCTCCCTCGAGGTACTTATAGACACTGATTAGATGCCCTCTCAGCCTTCT